ATTCACCAGCACAGGTACAAATGCTTTTAGCTTGTGATGTATTTTTTAAGGTGTTGCTGAGGGAGCGCATACCGCTGTCACCTAGCGGCCCATACCTAATAAATACCAAATTAGGTTATGTAGTGGGAGGAACTGTTGTGGGTAAGACCCCGAGGCAAGATGAATTATATTGTAATTTTGTTAATTTAAATTTTAAGTCTAGTATTACTAAAAAGAAAGAGCCAAGTGGTTACTGTAAAGACTCTATTCATCAACAGTTAAAACAATTTTGACAATGCGAAAATGTCAATGAAACCTTTTTTGAATCAACTTCTGAACAGGAATTGGCGGAGAAATATTTTAATGAAACTTGTAAATTAAATAATAATAAATTTGAAGTCTCCTTGCCATTTAAATTGCCTACAGAGGAAATTAATTTAGGTGATTCTTTATCTTGTTCATTGCAAAGATTTTATAATTTAGAAAAAAGGTTTTCTAAAGATCCAGTTTTGTTTGAAAAATACAAATTATTTATAAATGATTATATTAAGCAGGGTCATGCAAAAGTAATTAATATATCTGAATATGACCTTAAAAAGGGTGATGTTTATTTTCTACCGCACCATCCAGTTTTTAATGAAAATTCCAAAACTACTAAATTAAGGGTAGTGTTTGATGGTAGCATGCTGACAAAAAACAAAATTTCATTAAATGATATGTTACTCAATGGTCCCATAGTACAGAGTGATTTATTTGATATATTGATACAGTTTAGGTTAGGTAAATACATTCTTATAAGTGATATAAAACAAATGTTTAGAAATGTGAATTTAAATGAAAAGGATTGCAAATTTCAAAATATTTTATGGCGAGAGTCGCGTAATGATCCTGTTGAATGCCTTCAGCTTCAAACTGTTACATATGGTTTAAAAACTTCTTCTTATTTAGCAACTCGATGTCATTTAGAGTTAGCTAACCGATTTAGTGATAAATATAAATTAGCAGCATCTGCACTCAAAAATAACACGTATGTTGATGATGTAAATTTTACTTCTAATGATGTTGATGAATTGAGTCAATTAAAATATGAACTAATAGATTTGTTAAGATTAGGAGGTTTTGAATTACATAAATGGTGTTCGAATGCACTGCAAGTGCTGGCTGATATCCCTGCTGAAAGGTAGCAGCTAGAAAATATTGATTTAGCATTTGATGATATGTCTGTTAAAACGTTAGGCTTACATTACAATATTAAAACAGACAATATTAATATTACTTGTCCAGAACAAAAGTTTTTGGAAGTTTATACTAAGAGAGAGATTTTAAGTTTTATTAGTAAGTTTTTTGACCCTTTGGGAATACTGGGTCCTATATTAATAAAAGCAAAATTATTTTTGCAAGAGCTTTGGAAGGCTAATATTAATTGGGATGTTCCACTTTCCTTTGATTTAAATCATAAATGGAAAAAAATTGCTTTAGGTTTAATTAACATGTCATATATTTCTATTCCAAGAAACATTAGTGTTTCTAAGTTTGTTAAGATTGAAATAGTAGGGTTTGCTGATGCATCAAATAATGCATATGGATGTTGTATATATATAAGAATTGTAAAAGAAGATGGTACTGTTTGTATGAACTTGTTATGTTCAAAATCTCGAGTCAGTCCCATTGGTAAACAACTTTCAACACCTAGGCTTGAGCTTAATAGTGCACTCTTGCTCTCTATTTTAATAAAAAAGGTTTATAAATGTATATGTTTAAAATTTGATAAGAAACTTATGAATGTTTACTTGTATTCAGATTCACAAATAGTGTTGTCTTGGTTGAAAATAGAACCTGTACGGTTATCTGTATATGTGGCTAATAGAGTCAAATCTATAAGAGATTCCTGTAAAAACTATTCTTGGCATTATATTAATACACAATCTAATCCAGCAGATTGTATTTCTAGGGGATTAGATCCTGATATGCTGAAAGAAAATATTCTCTGGTGGCATGGACCACAAATTATGCATGATAAAGATTATGAACATTCTAATGATTTTGTCCGATTAGTTGAAAAATTACCTGAAATTAAAAATGTATGTTTGTTTACAATTGATTCATATGATAAAAATTTCATAAAAAATTTATTGTATAGATATTCATCTTTTTTAAAACTCTAAAGAGTAGTTGCATATGTATATAGATTTTATAAAAATTGTAAATTGCCTAAAAATGAAAGACACAATGGTGTAATAAATGCCAAGGAAATTAATGATGCTACTTTAGTAATTGTTAAATGTGAACAAAGGCAATATTTTAATAATGAAATTCATAGATTAGCAAAGGATCAGCCAGTAAAAGGTAATTTGTTACAATTGAATCCATTTCTAGATGAAAGGAAAATACTTCGTGTTGGTGGTAGATTAGAAAATGCATCTATACCCTATTCTCAAAAGCATCCAATAATATTGCCGAAAGGGTCATATATAACAAAATTAATAATTTATGATGCCCATGTTAAGCTGTTACATGCAGGGCCTAAACTTATATTAAGTTATTTAAACCAAAAGTATTGGCTGATCAATGGTTTAAGAGAAATTAAATCTGTAATACATAAGTGTGTTGTATGTTTTAGACTTAAGGCTAAACAAGCTTCGCAGTTGATGGGTTCTTTGCCACAACAGAGAGTCACAGCAACCCGTCCATTTGAAATAGTTGGTTTCGATTATGGGGGCCCATTTCAAATAAAGCAGTCACGTGTAAGAAAGGTTTTAATTTCAAAAGGTTATATTGTATTATTTATATGCTTTTCGACTAAAGCTGTCCATGTTGAACTTGTATCTGACATGACCACAGAAGCATTTCTAGCTGCCTTAAAAAGATTTATATCTAGACGCAACATGCCTTCTATAATAAATTCTGATAATGCTGCGACTTTCCATGGGGCAAACAACCAATTAAATGATCTGTATAAGTTAAAAATTCTGTTGAGCATCAAACATGTGTTCAAAATTATACGTCATCGCTTGGCGTTCAATTTAAGTTTGTACCTGCATATTCACCGAATTTTGCGGGAATCTGGGAAGCAGGAATTAAAAGTGTAAAGTATCATTTAAAACGTGTCGTAGGTGACAAATGTTTTACTTATGAGGAATTGCATACTATAATGGTTCAAATAGAAGGGATTTTAAATTCTAGGCCGTTAACGCCATTAGTAATGTCTGATATGAATGACTTTACTTACCTTACACCTGGTCATTTTCTCACAGGTGCATCTCTCCAATGTCTACCTGAGCCTAATGTTACTAACGTTCCTACCAATAGATTAAAATTTTGGAATTAGTGTGTACAAATTCAACAGTCATTTTGGAAGCAGTGGCATAAGCAATATCTAGTTCAGTTACAGAATCGTCCTAAGTGGCAGGTAGCTCAACCTAATTTGCAGGTTGGAACATTAGTCATCGTTAAAAACGATAATGTAAGTCCTCTAGCATGGCCCATGGCCAGAGTGATAAAAGTGTACCCTGGAGAGGATGGAAAGGTGAGGGCTTTAGATATTAAAAACCAAAAAGGTTTTGTAACAAGAACAAGTATATCAAAAGTTTGTATTCTACCAATAGAAGATAATAATGTATTGGGTATTTTTTAAATTGCCTTGAATTGTAGTTTTTATATTATATGTATGTCTATATTTTTTTTTAATTAACTGTATGCAGATTTACGATAATTTTAATTTACTATAAAACTTTAAAATTGTATAATTTCTTTTGTAGAGGCCGCGACTATGTTCAATGCAGAATGAACACAAATTCTTTTGCATAGCGAAAAATTGATTTAAAAAGTTTTGCCGTTTTTGGCGGTCTTCTCGAACTTCTTGATTTTGAGACGCGTGTGGGCTATAGCCACAAATATTAAATTAATTATTATTAAGTAGTCTTAAAGGCTAAATATTACAAATTATAAATTAAACTAATGTAACACAAAGTGTGTAAATAATAAATTCTTTCTTATGTTTACAAGTGCGATGTTTTTATTTTATAATTAGTGGACTCAAGAAACGACCTATGGATGATAATAAATTAACATTGAGCGTCGCACACAACAATCATCATCATCAGCCCTTTTACGTCCCCACTGCAGGGGATCAGGCCTTCCTTATGGATGGTTAAGGAGGATCTCTAAGGAGGACTCTTAGGTTAAAAAGTCTTAAATCATCTTCGAAAAAATACAAAGCCATTGTAAACTGACGTGCTGATGTGTGTATGTACATCTATTTTATTGCCTCTAAGATTGTAGGTATTTATTTTAAAACATACATTCTATACATTTCCTTCATTTTAAAGAAAAATATTTTTCTTATGTAAATACAGGATTACATAATTTATGTATTTTTCAAAATGTTCCGGCTTCTGATTAAATAGGGTGCATTTATAACCTATATTTTCTTTATTCATATAAACACCACGTACAACGATAAATGTGTTGTTTACTTATATTTCCGACTAGTGATAAAGCGTTGTAAACAGCAGTCGTGGCAGCCAAAAGGCAAAACACTCGCATAAGCTTGTATGAACTTTTACATTAATAGAATAGTGGCGCCTCAGATGTACCTGCCAGCTTTTTGATAGAGTATTTTTGCTCAATTATATATTAAAAATTTGTTTGAACTCTACTCTTCTCTTAGTCGGTATAAATGTATAGTATTTTGTAAATTTTTATAGTGTTTTGTATAATAAAGTGTTTTTATCTTATCTCATATAAAATCAATTGTGTTAATACACAAAAGAAAAGATTATTACGTAGAGTTATGCTTAAACAAAACAACAAATGATTTCCAAGAATCACAAGTGTCACTACGTACAGTGGTGCGTGTTCAACAGCTTTCGCTAATAAAGTCCACCACCCATGGCGTACGACATAGTATGCAATTTAGTTATGAGGTTTACAATAGTAACCTCCATAATCGTCATTCAGCACACAGCGGTGGAACCCGCGACAAAACCAGTCGCCGCGAGTACTAGAGCCAACTTAGAGCCAGTCACGCGCCATTCACCGCGTAGGATGCGCGCGCGCCGTTGCGCTTTCGGATTTTAAATTCTAGTGACAAAGTGCTATGGTATAGTTGTGAAGTGTCGATATTACTTGTCACGAAACGGTGTGCGTAAGTGGATTGATGCGATGTGATATGTGAAAATTGTTCTTGGTGAACTGGTGTTTACATTTTCATGGTGAGGAAATGTTATGGTTTTATGAGTTCGTTGGCGTACTTAGTTTTGAAACATAACGTCTAAAGTGTATTTCTATGTTTTAATTATGATAGAAAAAATATTATATTTATAGTTATTGTACAGTTACAAAGAATCATTTAACTACATTTATACTCATTAAGAAATAATAGGTTATTAAAAACAAAACAAAAATCTGTTTAAAGAAACAAAAATATATAATATTATACGTGTATTGTTTATATGCAAATATTTTATATTTGCAAATATATTATCATTGTTTTATTTTATATCTTTGTCGGAGTGAAATTAAATAAGTCTTATTAGACATAGAAATCGTTTACCTACTCAGAGACCAAACGAGAGTTTCGTCTACCACTAAAACCGTTTCACCTCAAACATATCGCCGTTCTCAATGCATATTAATGCAAACCGCATAACAACTCCTTACGGAGTATGGAATGTAACAATGTGGTTGCAACACTTCCTGGTAAAAGAAACAACATCACCCACCGTGCTATACTGAAATTAAATAGTTGCAAATTGTCAATAAAGTGTATAATTAAACCTCATCTAACCGATTAAGTATGCAAATAAATTTAAATTAATTTATCCGATTTCAAAATATGGCTTATGCAATTCATTTATTTCAAAACTCGGTAGTGATTTTAAGATAAAAAACCAAACGAAGCAGATTTAACAGCGTGATCCATGGTACATTAAGTACGTAAACCATTGCCAGCAACCTGCTAACTAAACAAGGGCACATGTTTCCAGGTAGACATCACGTTGGCTTAGTCATAACTAGTCAGTGACGTTACATGTACCTTTGTAAACATTTCGTCAATAGCATGGCCTAGCTGAATTAATATTTACTTATTGTACAATTACCATTAATTAAAAAGGAATTGTATTAAAACATAATTATGTCCAGGTATATGAAATCAGTTTATGAATATACTAAAGTACGTAAAAATTTCGGCAGGCAACCATTGTTTCGAGATGTGCCTGCACAGATGCTAGATTCGATAAAACCGGACAAGAACGAACAAAAACTGTACGCTCTACGAAATCCAGTACATCGTTACGTTCAAGCCACTATGCCTCAATCAGAAAATGATTCGAATACGAAACAAGTGATAAGTCACGATCAAAGCATAAATCACGAAGAAGGTGGTTGGCCGCGTGAGGTTCATGTCTATAACGAGGAACATATACATAGGCATCGTCGTCGAGTAATGCACGAGGATAACTACGTACACGCAGTACTAAATTTGGCGCCTGTTATGGCACATTACGTTAATCAAAATAACGCTATCGATATGTACCAAACATATTTCTCTGACATGAAAGGTCAAGAACCCGTTGAAACATACAAAGTTCGCATTGCGAATGTGTTCAGAGACCCATCACGGCGCCCTGTTTCTTGTATAGCCTGGACCAATGAGAAAAAATCAATGATAGCCGTATCATATTGTGAGCGAACTTATTGTAACAATGAATGGGGATATCTTTCAGTTGAAAATAATACATGTTCCCTCTGGGACGTGACAGTCCATAACACACCCGCAAATGAATTCTGTGCTAATAGCGCTTGTTGGCAAATAGCGTGCTCTCCTAAAGACCCAGAAATAATTATTGGTGGATTGCAGAATGGAACAGTATGTGTTTTTGATGCACGAACAAATAAAAAAGCTATTGGTTATAGTTCTGTGTACAAATCTCATCGTGAACCTGTAACTGCTTTGCTTTATATTCATTCAAGAACTCAGACAGAATTTTTTAGTGGCTCACCAGATGGGCAATGCCTTTGGTGGGATTTACGGAATTTTGATGAGCCACTTTGTCAATTACCCATATCTGTCAAAATACCAGCTGACCAAAAACCAGACTTAAGTAATGCTGAAGGGGTTAGTTCTTTAGATTTCGATTATGGATTACCTACCAAATTTCTATGCGGTACAGATTCAGGGTTAGTTATTAACATCAACCGCATGGGAAGAAGTCATTCGGAAATATTAACTTCATACTGGAATGCACATTTAGGCCCTGTAAGAGCTGTACACCGGAGTCCTTGTACAACGAGAATGTTTCTTACTTGTGGAGATTATTCCTTACGCATTTGGAGTGAAGAAATGCGTACACAACCAATAATAGTCACCAAACCTTATAGACATCAAGTAACCGATGCATCATGGGCTCCATTGAGGTACTCGTGCTACATGTCAGTATGTGCCGGAGGGTATTTTTATTACTGGGATTTACTACGTAAATCACAAGAACCGGTAGCAACCCTTCAGATCTCCAAAAAAGAAATAACTAAACTAACCCCTCACACCAAAGGCAGAGTTATTGCTATAGGAGACGTTATTGGATCAGTTACTTTAGTTCACCTTTCAGAAAATATGATATTACCAGGGAGTCGCGATAAGCAGCTCGTTCATCAACTTTATGAGCGAGAAAGTAGACGTGAACATATCGTAGACACACGCCTAAGAGAGATACACTTAAAACAAAAAACTGAAGAAGAGGCAGCCACTAAGGAAATTTATGAAGAAATTCCAGATGAAGATGAGCTCCTTCAGCAAACTGAAGATGAATACTTTCAAATAGTCACTCAAGAATTGAAAAAAATGGACATGCTCACATCAGAAAGTGTTTCTTGAAATAAATATACAACAATTCCGATGCCGTTTGATCTTCTAACATAAGACCATGATATTTCCATCAACGCTATGACCTAGGATAAAGTGAAAGGCAAAACATTATGACATACATAGCCCAGGTAACTTCTTACAAAGACTACTAAACAGCAAATAGAACCTAGACTAATTGATAAACGGAATTGATTCAAACTAATGGATAATTAAAAACGGTCATTAGTTTGTTGAAACGTGTCAAAAAACTGGAAATTGTGGTAAATCAATTGCAAATTCAACCGTATTTACAAGGATATCATAGAATTTATATTAGAAAATGACAGATGATTCAGGCCATTTCGAGGACAACCTATTTTAAACTATGTCTATATGATTCTTGAGATGTACGTCGCTTAACGGTGTCTGACAAATATAGGTCTTGACGCTTATATTTACAATAGTTTCTCACAAAGTTAAACAGACTCATCCCGGATGTTTCATGCGACGAGGAGCCCGCATGTTTCCCCAGGCAGATCCGGCTGAGGGCCACGACCGACGATTTATCTCACAAAATACCGACACAACAAGACCTACCAATTTTTATTACACCTCCCCCTCTACGAAGTAATTTGTAAATGAACGAGAGGGACGTCAGAGGTCTTATTAGAGTGGCTACGTAAATTACTCGCACCCGTAAGTTGCGTGAATACAAAAGTGCGTCACCGGCAACTTTCACCGCGGCTCGATCCACAACAGTCGCACGCGCATTGACTGTGTACACGATAGATTTTTTATTCAGAAAGGCACTAAATTCTAAACAAGCAGTGTAGAGTTCATTAACCCTGTTTTGAAGATCTTACCTTATTACTTAAGACTCCATATTTTAAATAAAGAGTAGCTTTATGTAACACAGCGTAAAAAAACCGTTTGGTAAAAATATCTTTTACAGTGTTTTTGATATGCATTTTATTATCGCAGCCATCTATTTTCCCGCGACTTTATCTGCGTAAATTATACATATGACACTTACGTACGATTTCACTAAAAGTAGGTAAAATAATATTTAAAATCGGACAAACTTTTTTATAGAAAAGCTATTTAATTAATATAATAAATCTCTAATAATGTTTACATAAGAGGCTAATTAATTAATTACAAGCTCTCACTAATTAATTTATTGTACAATTTGTGTTCTGTAACCAAATATTTACTTAATATGTAATAATGAACTTAATCATTAGCTTCAATATTGCGTTTGATTGTCGATTAGGTAATATGTAATTATGATATATAACATATTACTGTGTAAAAAACAATTAAAAAGAATACATGCAATTTAGTATTGTGGGAGCTCTACACGCTAGTAACATTCCAATACAACATTCCAAATGTGTTACAAGCCTTGAATTTAAACGCCTCAACATTAAGAAGATTTTTATAACTTCAATTTTGGTAGGTGCTTTCTTTAACAGAAAAACCAATGATTATTATTTTTACGGAATATTGCTTTATATCGCAATCTACCATTATATTTTTTTTTTACAAAAATATTTTTAAGAAATCCTGTGATTTTGTCACATTTTTGAAAATTGATTTTGAAAGCCACATTAAACGGCAAAATTAAATTTTATAATAGTTTAATAATACATTTATCAAGGTAAAGATATCAGTTTCGCTATTATGTTAAAAATAGCGTCGAAAATAGCGCATTTGCAAAATTAGAAATTAATTCAAATAAAACCTTTATATATGTCATAAAGATTTGAAGTTGAAAAAATCGACCTAGTCTAAACAGACAATTCAGTTAACATTCAAATATATGGCTATCAAGATCTAGACGATCCAGTAAGAAAAACCATATATAATAAGAAATGTAATAACAAAAGCATTAAGTTGTTTGAATAACCGTATGTACTAACGAACCTTGAAATTGTCACATCACCTGTATTCGAACGATATAAAACCGTAGCAAATACGAACAATTCTTCAAATACGTAGAATTCATTTGAAGGACATATTCATATTGTAAAACAGAAAAAGCAAATATACTTGAATGATTGGTGTGACATTTACAATGGTCTGGTAATCTTTACAATTTTTAATAATAATAATTCTCTATCTTTGACTAGTTTAGATCGGATTGAAGCAAATGCATTCCACGTTCAATACAATATTGATTCGAAACCAAACTTATTGAAACCAATGTTACACAGTAGGGCTGCTGGTCTCTATCTTTGCATTTACTAACTGTTCTTAAAACTATTTTAAGCTTTGATATAGTAGGCATTTCATCTGATTCCAACAATTTTTTATTTGGAGGGCTAAAGTGCTAAAAATTAATTATCTAATGGATATAGATAACAAAGAAAAAAGCATTACCCGTCTTATCTATTGACCGTCAAATTGACAATGTCAGAAGAGGAAACGTCAAGTTGAGAAGTGTTTACGTTATTTTGGTCTGATAATTATTGAAAGCTGGTACTTAGTTAGTCCTCGTTTTAAATAAGGCGATAATTGACCCACAAACTCATAAGATTACATAGCACACAAAAACATGACTTAGTATAATAACACGAAAAGTAACAATGTTTTAAATTCACCAATTCTTATGTATGACACGATTTCTTGTTTAAGTGAAACAACTTTTGAACGGTTTCATCGCGCTTCTATTTAGTTTTATTGTCGTTTCGGAACCTTTACAGGTTCCGTGTTCATATAAAACCATAGATAATACAGTATGAGACTAAGGTAGTGTTGGTGACCTGCTACGTAAACCTTTTTGGCATGTTTATTTTCTAAATTCTCAGTTTTTAAATAAATGTCATTCATACTTTTAGACTTACGAAAACTTCAGTGAGATACTAATATACGGCTGTGACGGTGTGTTTTCGTGGTTTCCTTTGCAATTACCTGGTAGCCAGATCTCTATCTTTTTCAGGTGGTGATTGTCTTTTTAATTAAGAGTATCTTCAAACCAAATCTGTTGGTAATCTACCACTAGGTCCAAATTTAGAAGTCTTGTCTCAGAAGAACTCCGAACAAGAAAAGAGAATTACTCCATTTGATTTTATATTTACAGAATGAACTAACTGAATATTTTGGTTTTGCAGTGTGATCTGGATTGAGATTTTATTTTACTAATTACTGGATCCCAAGCCGGTGCCGGTATTTCTATTGAAATTCGTATGTTTTTTTTTTTAATTTCAATAGCCTCGCGTATCATTCTAGGGCTGAATTTTTGTTCAGCCGCAATTATTTTTGGATTGCCAAATCTTATGTAATACTTGGGTCCTCCTAACGCTTGTTCACAGACTGCAGGTTAATTTTCGCGCCTATGCTTAATGTCAGAGACATGTCACCTAACGCGAGTTCCTATGTTCCTCTTCGTCTAACATTCTAGTTTGTATACACCTTCAACTTGAAAGGGGATACACTTGACAGATCTTAAGAATTGGTTGGTCTCTTCGGCGGCTCAAAGTATGTATTGATGGAAGCTCACTTCAAAATGCTTCCAATCTTGTCTTTGGCACCTATGGAAATGCAGCAAGTTTAAGTTTTATACTCTTTATTAAAAAGACAATCAACACCTTAGTCTTATGTGAACACGGAACCTGTAAAGGGTCCGAAACGTTAATAAAACTTAATACAAACGCGATGAAACCATTTATTCATGGATAGTGCGCGTGAAATTATAAGAAATCAATATGATTTCTTGTTTGTTTTGACATACTAAAACTTACAATCCATCATAGAACTGCTACCAAATTATTTAGAGCCAAATGTATTTTTTTTATTAAGTGGGCAATATTTTCACAACAACAACGTTAATATCAGAATACACGTAACATAGAAAAAAACATAATTCGTAATTAATTCGTTGTTATGTCGATTGCATGACACTCGGGCGTGCGTGTGGGTGCGACGCGTCAGTAGCTCCTTATCGAATGCCAATGTCAACTTATTTGCAAACCCGTTGCGGCCGCACTGTTATTTTGTATTATTGGACCGACCCACATCGAGAACTGATAATTATGCCGCCGCTAAAACTTTAACATGTTTAGTTAGGTCAGTCACTCGGTCATTCGATAGCGCATCGATATCCCAATAACACACATGTATTTGTAAACTTATCAATTAAAAACACTAAATTCCTTGAGAAACTAGTTTTTGAAAGCCATATTATTATTTATAGACTACGTTCTATCATATAACAAACTTTCACTCACGATTTCCTCTGTATGTTTGTGGATGTGAAACAAAATAAATATGCGCATAATATATAAAAACGTATTATATTCTTAGAAATTTAAAAGAATATGTATCTAGCTAAATCATAATGAATCTCATGTTTGAAGAAGCTGAATATGTTAAAAATAATAAAGTTACTGGGTGACCCTGTATACATCTTTCTCACCGTTTAAACCTTCCCTGGACACAATTTTTTCAAAACAAAATCACCTGAAGCGGCTCAGCTGTTCTCGAGTTTTAGCGAGACAAACGAATAACAATTAATGTTTATATATAAAGAAGATTTGGATAAAAAGTTAGAAGAGGTAAGCAATAAAGAAAAATAGTTGTTTCTGAACAAGACAGTCCTTACTAATTTTTATAATTTTACATCTCTGCTTTTATTGTATAGGTACCCCCGTAAGGGATACGGCGTAAAGATAGATAAAAATTGTAAAGAGCACAATATTTTAATATTTAGGTAACATCACTTTAAACAATATTATATTCAGAATTTCCGGGAATAATCGGATTTAAATTTTAAATTTTGTCTGGGTAGTGAAACTTTTTATTATTATAACAACGCTCATATTTGGGTATAAATTCCTTTCTATTTTGTGCATGTTTTATTTTGTTAACCATATCTTCATAATATTGTTTTTAACCGGCTTCAAAGTCAAAATGGCGTTGGTTCCATATGTATATTTTTATATTATATTCACCGATTCTTCCTTGAATTGTAGGTCGAATCAGCTAATTTGTTATTGAAAGTCACTTATTCTGCTTTCCTGGATGTTTTTTATAGATAATAATTATGCTCTACATACTTTAATAAGGCATCACTGAAAACAATTAAATACATGTTTTAAATGACACCAACTTCAGAATTTCATATAAGCTGTTTGAACACAACTTCTACTGAAGACGTTGCGCCCTGCTTCAACAGAAATTTCTTGAAATATGAACCCTTTATCAGAAACATGTAGATATTATTTTTCACTTTTTAAAAACCTCCAAAAATTAAGAGATTAGTGGGATTGTATTTTTGATATATAATTTTATTTTTTACTTTATGTACAGTAATGTCAAGATGGAGAGCGCAATGCGATGACAAGCACGGCTCTGGTGGCACTCATTCTATGGGTGTCAGCGTGCGCGGCGCGCGCGCAGCTCCGGCCAGCCGACGCGCCGCTTGCTATTAACGATACACGTAAGAGAATCAAACTTTATCACTCGACCGCTTTAATCATATGAAACACCAATTTATATATATCTTATTATATAAAATTATGAAGATGCTATTTCTGACGATACGGATCGATGCAGCCATTTCCATTAGCCATTCAATTTTTTTCCGAATTTTTACTATTTTTTAGAGCAATCGAATGGTTAGACTGTGGCTACTTGATGTCCTTGAATCTATTGAAGCTTTTCAGATACTTGGTATCGGATAACAGACACATACTAATACTAATGTTTGTTCTTATTTTTATATTTTCAATGATATTAAAGCTATGTTTATCTATTTCATTTCATACTGAAATTAAATAACATTACAGTTGGTTTCTTATATACTCCACAGCATATATAAATTGAATAATCAAAACCTTTTTGCTACTAAATAACAAATTAATAGCCTTACTCGTTATTAAGTTAAATCGCCGTATTGGTAATTAAATTTTACGTAAGTATACTGCGTCTGCGGCAATGCGGTCACTTCCATAAATAGTGTTAAATATTTTCTTCATTACCTCCAATATCAGTGGGTAAGCATTCACTAACATTGAAGCAAATTTTCTAGATGGTATACTTATATACACACTTATATTGCACATCAGTTTATCACAATATGTCAAATTTCTACATTGGACTTTGACCTCAAACTTATTATAGAATTAAGGTTTAAAATCGAGTGAGGAATTTGACAATTTTGTATAGTCTGACGTGCAGTTGATTGTTTAACTGAACTAGTCTAGTCTTGTATTATACGAAGAATAATTATAGTAGCGGTGGCGTAATTGTTTTACATCAAAATCTATCGCTATATGATTCAAAGGTACAATACAATACAAAACTCTTTATTGTTCACATAACACTATTATGTAACAATTGGCGGCCTTATCGCTTAAAGCGATTTCTTCCAGGCAACCAATGGACGGAGAGAAATAACATGAATAATGAAGATGGGGGTGTAAATGTTAACAATATATCATTGAGGCTCAGGAATGATTTATTTAAAGTATCTAAACAAAATTTTGGACAATAAATAAATACGATACAAAAATTTATTCATTAACAACACATACATACATATATACAAACACACATATACAACGTGTCCCAAAATTCAACGATAAGCGGGCGCCAAGAGGTACCCTTGCTCATGTGTACTTATGGAAAAATAAGAAAAAAATTATATCTTATCTTTTTTATTATAAAATTAAATTCGAAAATCTTCGAAAATTTACACCTTTTATGATATTTTCAACTACCACGACCACAACTTCTCAATTATGTTCAATCTTTTTTTGGTATCGGATACCTAAGTAGCACTACTATTCGCTACAACTCTTTCGAAAATTTTTGAATTTTATTTTATAATAAAAAAGATTAATAAGATATAATTTTTTTCTTATTTTTCCATAAGTACACGTGAGCAGGTCTACCTCTTGGCGCCCGCTTATCGTTGAATGTTGGGACACGTTGTATAAATAAATACACCTATTAATATCATAACAGGAAAAAGCGATAATACGGCAGCAGTAAGTATTATTGTGTGAGGTAGTATTCTTTAACATTTTTTTTTTTAATTGAAAGAAAGTGAAAGAGAATTACATACACGAACAGTTTGTATGGTAAAAGATGAATCATAAAATGAAGTGTAATGAGATGGAATCCCAAGACACAGGTTCTCTGATGATCGCAATGAATAAGAATTTCAGCAATGCAGAAAACTGAAACGATCTTTTAGATAGCAAGGGTAACTAGGATTATACAATATGTTATAGATATGAATATGAATTCTCGTATAGGAAGCCACTTGAGTTCAGAACGAAAATGAGAAACATGGTCATATTTGCGCAAACTAAATATGAAACGGATGCAAAAGTTTTGTAAACGCTCAAATTTATTAAGCTGGTCCTTCGAAAGATCAAGATAGCAGGCGTAGGCGTAATCGAGGATAGGAAGCAGCAAAGATTGTGCTAGCGCAGCTTTAGTGGCAGTGGGTAAGAAGTTTCGTAGTCTTTTCAATGAAGCGGCTGAGATAGTTTAAGGTAGTTTAGTATGAAGTTAGTGATAGACTTTAAAACAGGTTTAATCAAATCTTCTTCTTCTTCATTAATTAATGACTTATCTGCGCATTTCGCACAATTCTGCCAATATCAAGTGAATAAATAGATTTCTATATGTAAAATGAAAATGAAATGAATAAAAGATGGCGATGATATCGATGGTCATTATTTGACCAAAATAAGTCAACACGTGTCAATTTGACGTGTTCTCTAGTGTCACTGTCAATTTGCTTTAGGTGGTCAATGATTTAAAATAAGTACTAACTTTCCTCCTCGTTTTATAATAAGACTAGAGTTTGGCAAGCGAAACGTGACACCACCTATTTTTCCGTTTTCATATGGCAACAACATAGAACTGTCAGTTTGACACTACGTTAGACAATTCAAGAATATTGAATTTTGTTGTTTTTGCGAATTTGAACTTGTGTTTTTGGTTAAAAATTATGTCGAAGCCGATAAAAAGTTCATCGAGGAAACTTCTTTCCATCATGATTGACAAGTTTACTGAAGTGAAAACTGAATTAAATAAAAATTTCATGGAGAAATTACAACGATTAGATAAAGTTGTATCTTTTTTAGGTTAGTTTTGTATTATAATTTTGATACTTTCGTTTTAATTTTCTGTAATTAACTAAACAGATATTTTTTATAAAATATTGCTCTATTTCAGATAACTGTGATGGTGATATTCAACCAATAATGGAGGAGATAAATGCAATAAAAACTTTAGAAAAACAAGAAATGCTGAATTCGGAAACGCAGTACTTACAAAAAATTTCTTCAATGACAGGTCTCTTTTCTTGTTTTGATTTAAGATAGATTGATAGTATTCCTATAATATTTACATAGGTTTTTTATGATGTATTGGTTTTTATTGTTGACATCCAATGATGTCATAAGAATGTTTTGTTTAACAAGGAAATTCACAGAATTCATGAAACTAATCAAACCATGTAATTGTTATACATGCTAAATATGCACATAAACTTAACTAAATTAAACATAAATTGCATTCATAGTTGAATAGGTATTTAAATTATTTTGATGTATGTGTCTATCATTATTTGCTTTTAAATACATTTAACATATCTTTGTTTCAAAGTGTTTAATCTTTTATAGATGTAAGTATAAGGACACTAAGAAGGATAAAAAATGAAGCATTAATTAATAAAGGAAAATGGGACACTCCTGGGAAAAAACGACCTCATCAACCAACAGTGTCTGCTTTAGATAATTTTGATTTAAGTGCAATTCGGAATAAAGTAAATGAATTTTACTGTGTGAAAAAAATTGTTCCAACATTAAGAAGCCTTCACAATGAATTAAAAGATGCAATAGGATTCAGTGGTAGCCGTGAGACTTTACGAAAAATTATGCTTAAGAATGGATTTTCTTTTAAAAGCAATGAAAATGAACGTTCTATGCTTATAGAAAAATACCAGATTTCTGCATGGAGGCACAAGTATTTGAGAGAAATAAATATAAAACGAAACGAAGGAAAGCAAATTGTGTACCTTGATGAAACTTATGTACATCAGAATTATAAAGTTAAAAAGTCTTGGCAAGGACCTTCAACAACTGGTGTCACTACAAAGATATCCTCTGGAAAACGGCATATTGTTGTGCATGCTGGATCTGAGGAAGGTTTTGTGCCTGGTGCATTATTAGTGTTCAGTAGTAAATCCAAATCTGCTGATTATCATGATGATATGAACTCATCGAACTTTATGAAATGGGTCAGAGAAAAATTAATACCAAATTTAAGTAAGCCCAGTGTAATTGTTATGGATAATGCCAGCTACCATATAAAACAAATCAATAAACCGCCTATAATGTCTAATACCAAAGCAGATATCCGTAAATGGCTTGTAAATAATGGAATACATTTTGAGGAATATCAGACAAAGGCAGAGTTAATGTGTTTGGTTAATGATAAGAAAACATTGCCTGTATATGAAGCTGAAGAGATTTTAAAAGAACATAATCATGAACTTTTATTGCTGCCACCGTATCATTGTGACTTAAACCCAATAGAGATGGTTTGGAGTCAAGCAAAAAGAAAAATTGCAAGCAGAAACATTGGAATACCAGGAAAGGAAATGGAAAACTTAATAATAGAGTGTTTTAACTTAATTACCCCTAGTGACTGGAAGAAATACACTGATCATGTTTTAAATGTCGAAAATGATTACAAATTAAAAGATGGCATTGTTGAAAACGAACTTGAAAAATTTATTATATCTGTTGGTGCAGACAGTAGTGAAGAGAGTGACTCTGATGATTCCTTGTCATTGTTATCAGGTGTAGAATATTTAGAAACAGATTTTGACTATGAATCAGACTAAAGTATTTTTAGTCTGATTCATAGTCAAAATCTTATCTTAAATTTTCTATTGTGATTAACATGATGATTTTGTGACACCTGTATTATGTAATTTATCCATGGCACTTAATTGTAACAAAAATAAATGTTTTTTTTATTGTAATCTGGTGTTTATATTGACTAATTTAATTTGATAGATAGTGGTTCTGGATCAGAGCAAAAGGTTGTGATGAAAATCCCTTAGGAGACATGTATGTGTTATGAACACATTATAAATATAAGGGCCAGAAATCAAAATTGGCTAACATCACATTTATTAAAAAAATGTGGCCAGAGTCGCCCATATTCATTACAAAAAAACAAAGAAGTCTATGCAAAAAACACCCTTTTAATTAATGACAAATATGAATTTTTAATATTATAAGTGCTGTTAGCCAATAGGTATAACGAATGGGTTAAAAAAAAGATTCGATTTAGTCCGTCAGTCAGATAATAGAAAAATATTGGATACGTATTTTTTTTCGCTTTAATTTAACAACAAATGGCTTAAGAGGTACTATGCGACGACTTCAAATATGCTTTGCAACAATGTTA